ATTGAAGGCAACTCTTCTCTAGATAAAGTTTTTGTAATACAGACAATTTTTCTCTAGAAAAAAAGCTTATTCCTTTGACCTGTCTTACAAACTAAGGCAACATTAACAATATGCCAAGCACATAAAAAAAAAACCTAAATCAAATTTTCCACAACATTCTTTCGGTGATAAATGCATTTTAAAAAAGCCATAACCATATAATGATGAAAATTTGTTGTAGAAAACTTTTCCTTTTTATGAGTTGTTATTTTTACACAATTTTATCTAAGACTTTATGGATTCTTATAAACGAGTGCAGGGCAAAGAAAAAAGAAACATAAATGTAAATTTGGTAAACGTGTTTTCTAAACAAGTTTTGTTTTTAGGCTAAAGAGATATGAAGGTTTTTTTTTTTGGCAGGTTATTTCTTAAATCTGCCATAAATATGTTGTGGTAAAAGTTTTTAAATAAAATTTAAGCAATATTTTAAATTTAATATGAGATGCAAAGTTTTGCTCAGTGTTTGGGTGACTCTACTAAGATCGTGTGTATAAAGGTTTAAGTCTTTGCTAATGTGACGTATACCTAATAATCCTAATCATTATTTCCTACCTACATATCCAATTAGGATCATAAATTCTATAACTAATAAATTTCAATTATTTGCATTAATTTACTATAAATTTCTTTCATAACTTTCATAAATGCAACATAAAATTCTTTACTCTGCTGCACATTTTAATAAACTACTGCATACTGTTGCATAACTAAACTATAAATAGACTAGAGTAGAATTGAGTAAATATTTCATTTTAATATATATATATATATATATATATATATATATCGTTTGGCATCTACTACAATGTACGTTTAATTAGTTAAGTACTTTCAATTATGTGGTCAATATTTGATTAAGTATACGTTTATGTATATTTCTATATCCAATAAATATTCCTTTAGACTCTGCCTATGGAAATGAAATGTATCCTTAGATACACAACAAATATTTAATTATATATACTACAGATGTTACGTTATATGATTGTGTTTGTATGTAAGTGTATAAATATTAAAATTTCTATGTAGATGCAACTATATCATATATTTATAGTTTTAGTAAATAACCATATAAGAGAGAAATTTATTTTAAAATATTTACTTCAAACACATTTATAAGGTTATTTTAATTGATTGATATATAGTTCTAATTGTCATATACATATTATTTTGTATACATAGCTAAGAAATGTTTACACATATTTGCAATATTTAAATATAATTAAAAAAATAATTATTTTTATCTTAATTTGCATAAGTAGCAAATTAATATTAATATAAAGTTATATTTTTGTTATAAACCAATAGGAAAAGTTCTTTTTGTAATTCGAATCAATATTAAGAATTTAATTGGTAATAAGAATTTTAAAACAAATTTTTAATTTGTTTAAACATGTTTTTAATATTATTTTAATTAATGCTCTAAGTAGTATGTAGTAATGCCAATTAATATTTAAGAAATTAATGGCTAAACTAAACTAGAGCTGAATTAAAACTGAACTAACACAGAATTAGAACAGAACTACAACAGAACTACAAAAGAACTACAAGAGAACTACAACAGAACTAGAACATAACTAGAACATAACTAGAACAGAACTATAACAGAACTAGAACAGAACTAGAACAGAACTAGAACAGAACTAGAACAAAACTAGAACAAAACTAGAACAAAACTAGAACAAAGCTAGAACAAAACTAGAACAAAACTAGAACAAAACTAGAAACAGAACTAGAACAGAACTAGAACAGAACTAGAACAGAACTAGAACAGAACTAGAACAGAACTAGAACAGAACTAGAACAGAACTAGAACAGAACTAGAACAGAACTAGAACAGAACTAGAACAGAACTAGAACAGAACTAGAACAGAACTAGAACAGAACTAGAACAGAACTAGAACAGAACTAGAACAGAACTAGAACAGAACTGGAATAGAACTACAACAAAACTACAACAGAACTACAACAGAACTACAACAGAACTAGAACAGAACTAGAAACAGAACTAGAACAGAACTAGAACATAACTAGAACAGAACTAGAACAGAACTAGAACTGAACTAGAACTGAACTAGAACTGAACTAGAACAGAACTAGAACAGAACTAGAACAGAACTACAACAGAACTACAACAGAACTAGAACAGAACTAGAACAGAACTAGAACAGAACTAGAACAGAACTAGAACAGAACTAGAACAGAACTAGAACAGAACTAGAACAGAACTAGAACAGAACTAGAACAGAACTAGAACAGAACTAGAACAGAACTAGAACAGAACTAGAACAGAGAACTAGAACTAGAACAGAACTAGAACAGAACTAGAACAGAACTAGAACAGAACTAGAACAGAACTAGAACAGAACTAGAACAGAACTAGAACAGAACTAGAACAGAACTAGAACAGAACTAGAACAAAACTAGAACAGAACTAGAACAGAACTAGAACAGAACTAGATCAGAACTAGAACAGAACTAGAACAGAACTAGAACAGAACTAGAACAGAACTAGAACAGAACTAGAATAGAACTAGAACAGAACTAGAACAGAACTAGAACAGAACTAGAACAGAACTAGAACAGAACTAGAACAGAACTAGAACAGAACTAGAACAGAACTAGAACAGAGCTAGAACAGAACTAGAACAGAACTAGAACAGAACTAGAACACAATTAGAACACAACTAGAACTGAACTAGAACACAACTAGCACTGCACTAGAATGTAACTAGAACAGAACTTGTACAGAACTAGAACAGAGCTAGAACAGAACTAAAACTGAACTAAAGCTGAACTAGAACAGAAATTGAACACAACTAGAACTGAACTAGAACACAACTAGCACTGGACTAAAATGTAACTAGAACAGAACAAGTACAGAACTAGAATAGAACTAAAATAGAACTAGAATAGAACTAGAACTGGAACTGAACCAGAACTAGAACGGAGCTAGAACTGAACTAGAACACAACTAGAACACAACTAGAACACATCTAGAACACAACTAGAACACAACTAAAACACAACTAGAACACAATTAGAACACAACTGAAAAAGAACTAGAAAATAACTAGAACACAACTAGAACACAACTGGAACACAACTAGAACACAACTAGAACTGAACTAGAACACGACTAGCACTGCACTAGAATGTAACTAGAACAGAACTAGTACAGAACTAGAACAGAGCTAGAACAGAACTAAAACTGATCTAAAGCAGAACTAGAACATAACTTGAACACAACTAGAACTGAACTAGAACACAACTAGCACTGAACTAGAATGTAACTAGAACAGAACAAGTACAGAACTAGAATAGAACTAAAATAGAACTAGAATAGAACTGGAACTGAACCAGAACAGAACTAGAACGGAGCTAGAACTGAACTAGAACACAACTAGAACACATCTAGAACACAACTAGAACACAACTAAAACACAACTAAAACACAATTAGAACACAACTAGAACAGAACTAGAAAATAACTAGAACACAACTGGAACACAACTGGAACACAACTAGAACACAATTAGAACACAACTAGAACACAGTTAGAACACAACTAGAATGTAACTAGAACTGAACTAGAACTGAACTAGAACTGAACTAGAACTGAACTAGAACTGAACTAGAACTGAACTAGAACTGAACTAGAACTGAACTAGAACTGAACTAGAACTGTACTAGAACTGAACTAGAACTGAACTAGAACTGAACTAGAACTGAACTAGAACTGAACTAGAACTGAACTAGAACTGAACTAGAACTGAACTAGAACAAACTAGAACAGAACTAGAACAGAACTAGAACAGAACTAGAACAGAACTAGAACAGAACTAGAACAGAACTAGAACAGAACTAGAACAGAACTAGAACAGAACTAGAACAGAACTAGAACTGAACTAGAAGTGAACTAGAACTGAACTAGAACTGAACTAGAAATGAACTAGAAATGAACTAGAACTGAATTAGAACTGAACTAGAACTGAACTGGAACTAGAACTGAACTGGAACTAGAACTGAACTAGAACTGAAGTAGAACTGAACTAGAACTAGAACTGAACTAGAACTGAACTGGAACTGAAGTAGAACTGAGCTAGAACTGAACTAAGAAAAATTTAACTAGATGTAAACAACTTTTTTCTTTAGGTAACTGAGCCATCTCCCCACAATCTTATGACACCTCAAACATTATTATTTTTAACCCTCTCAGTTATCGAAAATTATTTAAAATCATTGCATTTATTTTTTATTGGTTTTTAATTTGTCTGATTTTCAATACAATATTCTTTCATAATCCTATTGCCTTTAAATCGTTTTCCTTTAATTTGCAATTTCATAATTTGTCTATAGCAATCCTATAAAGTAAAAGACTACTTTGGTGTGTCTGTTTCTGTGTCTGCCTGCATACATTATTGATTTATTTGCAGTCATAATTTTTGCCTTTTATTTAAAACATTTGTCATTTTAATTGTCATATATTAATTTATTTTATGATATTTTTTTTCTTATTTGCTGTTTCTGTTTTCTGCATTTACTCTGGCCTCTGTAAGTGAGAGCAAGGATTAAGGTTTATCTGGTTTGTGTATGTGTGTGTGTGTTTCTTTTTTCAAGCAGGATAACAAATATAAATAAAAACATACTAAAAGACATAAATTTGATTGTGTATTTTACCCTCTGGTGTTAAGGCTGTCGAAAAAATAAAACTTGTTGCTTTAAATATGAATGTTTTCTTTATGTTAAGTCCCTTTGTTATTCCATATAAATTTTACCTTTTTTTTAACAATTTATATTCCCAGTGATAAAAATCATAAGCAGCATAAGGATAATTATGTTTAACTAAAGGGAAATGAGTTTTCATCCTTTACTCCTTTAATGTGCAAAATATTTATTAAGTTTAATTTAATGATTTAATTAAAATGTTAATTATTTATTTTTTTCGTCTTTGCAGGTCACAACCGTTTAAACGAATACATATCCCATTATGAAACATTAGATTATGATCATCAACATATACGCGCTAGTCACCATAGAGCCCGACGATCAGTGACCAAAGATCATTATGTACATTTAAAATTTCAAGCACATGGAAGAGACTTCCATATTAGATTAAAACGTGATTTATATACATTTAGTAATAAGTTAGAGGTAAGTAGAAAAAATACAATCCCGATTAATACGATCATAATGAATATAAAATGATCCTTATCGGTTCCTTTCTAATGTTATTTAACATCTTTTTCTCTTAGATAATTGATAGCAATGGCCCTCTCGATGTATCAACCGATCATATATATGAGGGCGATGTGATAGGGGATCGTAATAGTTATGTATTCGGTTCCATATTGGATGGAGTATTTGAGGGTAAAATAATAACCGAACGTGATGCCTATTATGTTGAACATGCCAAACGTTATTTTCCAACAAATTTTACACAAATGCAATCATTGGAATTGCACAGTACTGATAATAAAAATTTTAATACATCTTTAACCACAACAACAACAACAACATCGTCTACAACAACGACGACGACATCAACAACCACAACAACAAAATCACCTTTAGCTAAAAGTAAAAGTATAGAAGATCATCATGATGAAATAGTTAAAAATGTTGGTTTTCATTCGGTGATCTATAAAGAATCTCATGTGGATGATGTCTATAAGGATGTGAGAGAAGGTAAGTGAGAAATATTTTTAGTAAAAGAGTTTTTTTAAGGTGATATTTAGGGATTTCACAAAATGTAAATGCCAGTTTAACGACCATAACGTTTTTTATGATATTGATCGAAGAAAAGTAATTCAATTGAGGTAGTTCAGTTTTATAAGATTCAAAAAAACCAAGTTTCATTTGATTCCAAAAGAAATTTTTCAGTTTATACACGATTTAAGAGAGTCTCTTTTAATTCAATTCCTGATGAACTAGTGCTGATATCACACAAAATAAAAAACCGTTTTGGAACAGAACTGAACTAGACATTGAACTAGAACTGAACTAGAACTGAACTAAACTAGAACTGACTAGAACTGAACTGGAACTGAACTAGAATGAACTAGAACTTTAACTGAACTAGAACTGAACTAGAACTGAACTAAAACTGACCTAGAACTAACTAGAACTGAACTAGAACTCAACTAGAACTCACTAGAACTGAACTAGAACTGAACTAGCACTGAAATAGAACTGAACTAGAACTGAACTAGAATTGAACTAGAAATGAACAGAAACTGAACTAGAATAGAACTGAACTAGAACTGAACTAGAACTGAACTAGAACTGAACTAGAACTGAACTAGAACTGAACTAGAACTGAACTAGAACTGAACTAGAACTGAACTAGAACTGAACTAGAACTGAACTAGAACTGAACTAGAACTGAACTAGAACTGAACTAGAACTGAACTAGAACTGAACTAGAACTGCACTAGAACTGAACTAGAACTGAACTAGAACTGAACTAGAACTGAACTAGAACTGAACTAGAACTGAACTAGAACTGAACTAGAACTGAACTAGAACTGAACTAGAACTGAACTAGAACTGAACTAGAACTGAACTAGAACTGAACTAGAACTGAACTAGAACTGAACTAGAACTGAACTAGAACTGAACTAGAACTGAACTAGAACTGAACTAGAACTGAACTAGAACTGAACTAGAACTGAACTAGAACTAGAACTGAACTAGAATTGAACTAGAACTGAGCTAGAACTAAACTAGAATTGAACTAGAACTGAACTAGAACTGAACTAGAACTAAACTAGAACTGAAATAGAACTAGAACTGAACTAGAACTGAACTAGAACTGAACTAGAACTGAACTAGAACTGAACTAGAACTGAACTAGAACTGAACTAGAACTGAACTAGAACTGAACTATAACAGAACTATAACAGAACTAGAACAGAACTAAAACAGAACTAGAACAGAACTAAAACAGAACTAGAAACAGAACTAGAACAGAACTAGAACAGAACTAGAACAGAACTAGAACAGAACTAGAACAGAACTAGAACAGAACTAGAACAGAACTAGAACAGAACTAGAACAGAACTAGAACAGAACTAGAACAGAACTAGAACAGAACTAGAACAGAACTAGAACAGAACTAGAACAGAACTAGAACAGAACTAGAACAGAACTAGAACAGAACTAGAAACAGAACTAGAACAGAACTAGAACAGAACTAGAACAGAACTAGAACAGAACTAGAACAGAACTAGAACAGAACTAGAATAGAACAGAACTAGAACAGAACTAGAACAGTACTAGAACAGAACTAAGAACAGAACTAGAACAGAACTAGAACAGAACTAGAACAGAACTAGAACAGAACTAGGACAGAACTAGAACAGAACTAGAACAGAACTAGAACAGAACTAGAACAGAACTAGAACAGAACTAGAACAGAACTAGAACAGAACTAGAACTGAACTAGAATAGAACTAGAACAGAACTAGAACTGAACTGGAACAGAATTAAAACAGGAACAGAACTTGAACTTAACTAGAACGGAACTCAAACTAAACTAGAAATGAAATACAAGTGTTTCAAAATAAGACCAAGGTATACCCAACCTCGCCCTCTATGTAAAGTAACCCCTAAAAAAATGCGGTAAATCTATTTTGAATTATCTATGTAAATACAGATTTACATAATGATATTATGGATATGGAAATGTCATTTGCAACAGTTTTTTATATGTGTACTAGTAATCACGAAAGCAGAGAAAAAATGTCTGTATGTGACATGTTTATTAAACATTTAAACTAACTTGTATAGAATTATGAAAAATTATTTAAAATAAATAAATTTAAATAAAATTTATAGAAGTAACATAAAACCAAATGACCATCAGCATTACAACAAACATTTAACATTTTGTGCAAAGTTTATGGGTGCCCTAGGATTTCCTTCCTGTTTAAAATTAAAACCCACCCAGCCAGCACCCACACTCATGTCTGTTCGAATAATTGTAACCATTATTTTTATCATGACTTTGACAATGACTGTTTTAGTACATATGTATGTATGTACATATGGGTATGTATGTATGTGGTTTGTGCATGTATGTAAAATAAATTTATTTTAAAATATTTTATTTAAACTGAAATAAAAAACATTGTTTTTACTTTAGTTGGTTATGTTTTTGTTTTCCGTTCTCTATTTTTTTTTTCATATAAAACTTTTGACAATACAAGTAGATTGTTAAACCATTTTGACTGACATGTTTTTCAAGTGACATGTTTGTTTCATTTTCGTAGTTTTTCCCTCCGCGCTCACTGCGTGTTTTCCTGTATATTGTTGTATGTATGTATGTAGTTGAGTTTTAACATTTGGTTTGTTTTATTTTTTCTATTATGGTTTCGTTAGTTTTATGAAAACATAACCACCAACCAACCTATACATCATTTTTTATTTTATAAACTAAATGAAATAAACAAGAAGGAATTAAAATAAACTATATGCTATAAACTTTTAAAACTACACTGTTTCCCAAGGAAATGAGAAAAATTTTGAATAAACATGGTTGATAAATGGAAATAGGAGAGTTCTTGATATAAAACTCAGTTCTGTTCTTAGTTGACTTTTAATTCAGTTTACATCCATTTCATTTCTACTTTGGTTCCCTATCATTTCTAGTTCCTTTAAACCTTGGTGTAATAATTATACCACGCATTCACTCATGCCTTTTATATGTCGTATGTTATAAACAATTTCATTTATAATGTTATATATTTTATGTGTTTTGCAAAAATTAAAATTAAAAAAAAAAATCCAAATAAAAAGCGCAAAAATGTAAAAAAAAAACATAAAAAACCCTATAATGTTTTGTATCATGGTAAATTTAAATATATAGCAAAAATACTGTATATATATTTTTATTGTTTTAATTAAAAATACGACTTTTTTACGACATCTAAAAAAATGTAAAATAAATAAAAATTTATATATCAACTCTTGCTGTGGGTCATGTGGTATTTGCTTTACAAATATAAAATAAATTACAAAATATTTATGTATTTTCATATTTAAATATCAATTTACTATAATATTATGAAAATAAATATTAATATTGAAAATAAATATTTAAATAATTTTCGTTTCGTAAAACAAAGTATATTGGTTTAGGGTTTATATTATTTTAAATATTTTAAATTTTATTTAAATTATTTATGTGTACAGCCAGTTCTAAGTAGTTTTGATCTAGTGTAGTGCTAGTTTAGATCTAGTTGAGTTTTAGTTCTTCACTAGTTCTGTTCTAGTTCTGTTCTAGTTCTTTTCTAGTTCTGTTCTAGTTCTGTTCTAGTTCAGTTCTAGTTCTGTTCTAGTTCTGTTCTAGTTCTGTTCTAGTTCTGTTCTAGTTCTGTTCTAGTTCTGTTCGAGTTCTGTTCTAGTTCTGTTCTAGTTCTGTTCTAGTTCTGTTCTAGTTCTGTTCTAGTTCTGTTCTAGTTCTGTTCTAGTTCGGTTAGTTCTTGTTCTAGTTCTGTCTAGTTCTGTTCTAGTTCTGTTCTAGTTCTTTCTAGTTCTGTTCTAGTCTAGTTCTGTTCTAGTTCTGTTCTAGTTTTTTCTAGTTCTGTTCTAGTTCTGTTCTAGTTCTGTTCTAGTTCTGTTCTAGTTCTGTTCTAGTTCTGTTCTAGTTCTGTTTTCTAGTTCTGTTCTAGTTCTAGTTCTTCTGTTCTAGTTCTGTTCTAGTTCTGTTCTAGTTCTGTTCTAGTTTGTTCTAGTTTGTTTAGTTCTGTTCTAGTTCTGTTCTAGTTCTGTTCTAGTTCTGTTCTAGTTCTGTTTCTAGTTCTGTTCTAGTTCTGTTCTAGTTCTGTTCTAGTTCTGTTCTAGTTCTGTTCTAGTTCTGTTCTAGTTCTGTTCTAGTTCTGTTCTAGTTCTGTTCTAGTCTGTTCTAGTTCTGTTCTAGTTCTGTTCTAGTTTCGGTTCTAGTTCTGTTTCTCCTAGTTCTGTTCTAGTTCTGTTCTAGTTCTGTTCTAGTTCTGTTCTAGTTCTGTTCTAGTCTGTTCTAGTTCTGTTCAGTTCTGTTCTAGTTCTGTTCTAGTTCTGTTCTTAGTTCTGTTCTAGTTCTGTTCTAGTTCTGTTCTAGTCTATTCTGTTCTGTTCTAGGTTCTAGTTCTGTTCTAGTTCGTAGTTCTAGTTCTGTTTTCTAGTTCTGTTCTAGTTCTGTTCTAGGTTCTGTTCTAGTTATGTTCTAGTTCTGTCTAGTTCTGTTCTAGTTCTGTCTGTTCTAGTTCTAGTTTGTTCTAGTTCTGTTTCGAGTTCTGTTCTAGTTCTGTTCTAGTTCTGTTCTAGTTCTGTTCTAGTTCTGTTCTAGTTCTGTTCTAGTTCTGTTCTAGTTCTGTTCTAGTTCTGTTCTAGTTCTGTTCTAGTTCTGTTCTAGTTCTGTTCTAGTTCTGTTCTAGTTCTGTTCTAGTTCTGTAGTTCTGTTCTAGTTCTGTTCTAGTTCTGTTCTAGTTCTATAGTTCTGTTCTAGTTCTGTTCTAGTTCTGTTCTAGTTCTGTTCTAGTTCTGTTCTAGTTCTGTTCTAGTTCTGTTCTAATTCTAGTTCTGTTCTAGTTCTGTTCTAGTTCTAGTTCTGTTCTAGTTCTGTTCTAGTTCTGTTCTTGTTTGTTCCAGTTCTGTTCTAATTTGGTTCTAGTTCTGTTCTGTTTGTTCTAGTTCTGTTCTGTTCT